TGGGTGTCTTGTGACTATGTTAATAAGTTATTTTTATGGTTGGGTTTTTTTTTTTTGGTCATAATAACTGTCTGAATAGATCTGAGGTAATCATGGCCTCAGCTCGCCCATCACCTGTGTAACTGAGGGATCCATGATGCCCTCACTTGCTTGACACCTGTGAAGAGGCAACCATGCCATCCAGTGGCCCGTCTTAGAGCCAGGAAGGGAGGGGCTCTTTACATGGGGAGAATTGGAGCCACATAGGAAATTGCCTTTTTGTGAGAGTAGCAATAGTTCGCCCAGATGACCAGGGTCCCTTCTTGCTCTCAGAGCTTGTGTTTTGCTCCCAGAGGTTTTAACGTTCCCTGGGGTTCCAAGGTGCAGGCAGGGTGGAGAGCATTGATCCAACCTGACTTCCTCGTTTGACGCTAATGCCAAGGCCAGGAGGTCACCTTCCTCATCACATGCAGTCCTAACTCTCGGGCCAGAGCTGTCCCCTGCAGTGCCCACTGCCTGACGTTGGCTTTCAGGCCATAATGGGTTTGGCCTTGACCACCTGCCCCAGCTGGACCCCAAGGTGACCCTCACTGGTCAGCAGCGAGCCCAGAGTCCAGCTCTCGTGAGGCTCTTCTGGCACCTGCCCCCTCCCTGCCCACATCAGCTTCCTCTCCCAGGCACTGTGCTCATCAGGCTGAGAAGAGACGGCCCTCGTCCAGAAGCACTGATGAAGGTGCCTGGACACAGCTCTCGTCTTGCCTCTCTCTCTCCTGGGGTCCCCAGAGTCACTGCCAACTGGACCGATGACAGGGCTTGGGCCAGGAGGCCTTTCGGGATGGCCGAGCCGCGGGGCCCGTTTTCCTTCCCCCCTGTCAGTGTGGATAGTTAGTCACTGCTCCTGCTTTGAAAATGAGGCTGGTGACACTTTTGTGCCTAAAAGACACTTCAGAAATACTGGTCCTGGGTCTTGCTTCGTCCAGTCCTCTGTCGAGTCACCCAAGTCACCTTTTTCTGTGTGACTTTTTTTCTCTCTTCTCCCAGTGACCTTTCCTTAAGCTTTCAGTGTAAGTGGATTTGTTATAACCACTGTGACCAGCCCTGGGTCTCAGGAGCACACAGTGACGTGCACTACAGTGAACCATTAGCCCTAATGACAAGTGGGTTAATTTGGTCTGGGTGGGTATGCGCAGGTAGGCATATCTTGTCAGGGATTAGCATTTCCTTGTCTCGGCGGAGTCGAGTGTTCAAAGGATAACGTTCTAAAATGAGTCTGGGGGCTTCAGCGAGCCTGACTTATGTACGAGCGTCGAATGTGAACCATATCAGCCTCAAAAGTGTGTGTAGCCAGCGTGGAAGGGCCCAGATTGTAATTGTCAGACAAGATGGAGGACCCTGAGTTCTGAGGACTCAATTGGGGACCAGTTGTGGACTCTGACGCATAGCGCTTGGGCTTTTACTGAACGTCTCCTTGGTTAATAACAGGCATGCTCTTTTGGTCCAAGCCTAAGTATTCTTGTCAGTCATTAAAACGGGCAAAGACCTCCGCATGTTAACTGAGCCCAGTGATAAGGAGTTAGCAAGTAATGGACTTAGTTATGAGGCAGATTGTGGGTGGGAAGTGCCTGGAGAAGGTTGGCCACCTGCCCTGAGCCTTCTCTCCCATTGCGGGCTTTCTGAGGATAGAAGGCAAGGGGAGAGGTTATTACATACCTTTGAAGGATCTAGCGAGGTGGCAGTGGGCAGAGATGAGCACCACAGGGCATGCCCTTGTGGCAGTGAACAAACCATTATTTTGTATAGGAAGGGCAGGCATCCCATCTTCGATTTCATGGTGCCGTATGGTGGTTCCTTTATAATGATCAGTAGTAGCTCTGTCCAAGCTCTTATGTCCATCTCAAAGAATATATTGCTTGGTTCCATTCATGAAGAAGGGAAGCAGATCGCTGAATTTAAAGGAACAGGCGGGCATTTGGGTTTTGGGTTTTTTTCCCTTTAGGGAATCCAGACCTTAAGTGCCTCTGTGTGTGTGTGTGAGTCTACACCTGTTCAACTCATGAAGAGATTATCAAATGTACTGGCTTTTAGAAAACAAGTCCTTATAAATGTATGGAAAGATATATTTTAATTTGGTTATTTTCCAAATAAGCACCTCTCTCTTCCAGCATAAGAAGAGCTGGATTTGATAGAGGAATGGTCAGATTGTGTGCTTCTGTGAATGGACCTATCTTTCTAGGGTGAACTTCCTGGTCTGAATGTGGGACGAGAGCCTGTGTTCACTATAGGATTTGCTTGGCATTTGCAGCTGGAACACTGGCCACACTGTTCTCGGGTAGGAGTGGGGAGGCAGCCCCAGATGCCAGAGGAGCCTGAGGGATTGTTAATGGAATTCCACGGACACCCCCTTTAATATGAGCTCCTTGAGGACAGGAGTCAAGCCTGGGTCAGCTCTGTGTTCCCAGCAGGCCAGGCTCACAGTTGGCATGGTCGAGCGGGTGGGCACAGCGCATCGAGAGGATGCACCTGCCTGGCCTTTGGTGGGGCCTTGGGTTGTATCTTTGCTGCCCATGGAGCCCATCACAGAGCTTCCCGGTGGACCTCTCTGTTAGGATCAGCGAAGGAGAGTCCTTGATGCTGCACAGTCGCTTCAGTTGCAGATTGAGCAAAACACTGAATGTCTATTGACTGGTCACCTGAAAACGCTATTCTACAAAGGAAGGCTCAAAGTCTGGCAGAATTTGTTGAGATTTCCAGGATCTGAAACCTAAATATTTATTTCTGCCTATGGACATAAATTGTCATTAGAGATAACTTAGGTGTGCATACTTAATATTTCACTTTTGATTTAAAAACTTAGAACATTATGCAGAGGTAAACAGAGTAAACGTCATTCTAATCACTACCTTCTGGCTGTAGAGGAGACTTTGGTGTTAAGTGAGAACACTGCACAGAGGCCTGAGGGGGACTAATTTTATAAATGGCCAATGATCGGCAACTCTAAGCAGAGTTATGCTTAGAAGGGGGTGTGGGTGTGGAAGGACACGTGGCAAAGGTGGGCTCAGGCACAAGGCATTTTGGGGTGACCCTGCTTCTGGCTGGGTTTGGAGGAAAGGCCAGAGCTAGGGCAGTAAAGCTGATCCTGGTTAGTTGGGGATGGGGTGGGGTGTCGGGTCAGGGTGCAGCCCCAGTGGAGGAAACTAGAGTGTCCGTCAAAAGCCCAGTAGCTACTGGTCATGAACTGCCCTGTGGCAAGGACTTTGTGTCTGTCTGTTTCTTAGTTACTCTCCTTTTTCCATTTCATAGATGAGGAAACTGAGGCTCAAGGACTAAGGAGTTTTCTAAGGCTCCAAAGTCTCTGGGCCCCAGGATTGAATTCTGAGTCTGTCTGACCCAGCACACATGCTCCTTTGTGGAATTGCACTGTCCTTTGGTTGGGAAACGTGGGGGTACCTATCCCTGTGAGGGGTGGGAGTGTGACTACCTGGGCGTCTGCCCCTGTCCCAGCCTGGGACTCTGTACCAGCCAGACCTAGCACTTGCAAGGGCTGTGCCTTAACTGACGGCCTGGACCCTTCAAAGCCACAGCTGCAGGGTGCTGTCACAGGGGTCCTGGTGAACTGAGTCCCCAGAGTTATAGGGCTGCACAGGCAAGTCCTACTTAACAATGAATTGGCCACCTATAAAATCAGTTCCCTACCCCCTCAAGCCCTTTTGTACCCACCTCGGGTAAGGGCAGTGTCTCCCCACAGCCATTGCCTCAGGTCTGGCTGACTGTTGGAAATCTGGCAATATTATGGATATGGAAATTCACTGTAACTTAATTGCAGAGTGAAACTGCAGATCTTGCAGAAGGTCCAGCATGTCATGTAGACACTGAAGGTGATGTTGGAGAACTCTTGGTTCTCGCACACTGACGAGCAAGGGTCTGAGAGGATTAGACCATTTACCATTGGAGGGAAAAGAGGGTGTGCGATGAGAATGATAGAAAGGATTTGACGATCAAAAGATTAAGAAAGGCTCTTAGAAAATTGATGAAGCCCTTGAATAGTTTGCAGAAATGACTGTTGTGATTGTCTTATTAAAAGTAAAACATGAAGCAAGTTGGTCTGAAAACGTACACACAAAACAAAACAGCACTCATTTTTTGTTCTTTACAGCAAATTAGAATATGGTTATAATTGCATGTTCTTAACCTAAATTTCTTCAAATGTAATACAAAATAGACTTATCTTTCTAATTTTAGTTCCATTTTTTGAAGGTAAAGACCCAATCAGATTTTTTCTGTGCACCCGCCTCAGCCAGATCATTTACTATGAAAGATGGATTTACTGTGAAGTTACCCACCCTGCCCCTGTACCAGATCTTCTCAGTTAACTAGGATGACTTCTTGGTTTAGTCTGGCAAAAGAAACTAGCCTGAGGAGGTTTTAGTGGGTGACTTGCAGTTCTTTAGCAGCCGGAAGAGTTACTGTTTTTCCTAATCAGGCCCTGATATTTATTCTTCCTGGTCCCTGAGAAACTGTCCCAAAGGAATGATGTCTTCCTTGTTTCCAGTTGCTTTTGAAACCATGGCTGTCCAGAGAACATAACTTTTTTATTGCATCCTAATGATTTTGATATTTTACTTAATATAGTTTTAAAATTTAATATTTATCAGGTAACCTGGTTCAGACCACTGATATTTGAATACTTAACAGTATTATCTAATGCTTTAGAAAAACTGCTCACAGTACCCAAGTTATATATTATAAGAGGCATCTTGTCGTTTTTTTGTCTTTTGGGGAAATTGCAGCATAAAAAGGATTGGTTACTTCCCTAATCGCCACAAAGCGGCCCTATAACCAGGGAGAATGCGCCTGGCATTCAGGGCGCAGGCTGGGAACATGGCAGCCTCTTATTAGACTGCTTTTGTCCAATTTTTTTTTTTTAATGACTTTATTTTTTAGAACAGTTTTAGATTTACAGAAATGCCTGATCCATTTTACAATGCAGTTTTAAATCCTCGATGTTTTTCCTCTCTCTGCAGACGTCGGCTCATCTCCCAGAGATCGTCCTTGGAGACCCTGGAAGATATTGAGGAGAACGCCCCCTTGCGGAGGCAAGTGTTCGGTGTTGCGTTTATTGTATGTAAATGGCCTGCGGTACAAGATGGCAGCCAAAGTTGGATTTTTTTTTAAGTTCTTGATTTACAGAATTAAATGTAAAAAGTGACAATCGCATCCCCAGACTCATAGTTTGAAAACCCCAACCCTGAGGACTGGTAGAACTGGAACACTGTTAAATCCCAGTTAGGTATTGGCATAGCCCAGTTTACATGTGAATTTGGGTGCTGTTCCCCTTTCATTTTGAAAGCTGCTGCTTGATGAAGAAGAGCCCATCATGGTCCCAGCCTTCCCAGGCGCAGTGACACAGTAGTCACAGTTCTGGACTTCATTAGGAGGTGCCCAGACGTCACTCCATAGCCAGTTGCTGGGGAAACTTGATTAGGACGGCTGTGAGTGCTCCCTTGGGGCTGAAAGCCGTCCGTTTCTTCCTCAGGATTAGAGAAGTGCTTGCGAGGCATCTTTTTTGATTGACAGCAGTTGCCGAGCTGTGCGGTGCGTCTGAGTGGCAGCTTTCTTTCCCCTAGGCCTGTACCCCTCCACCGGCCCTGCCTGCACCCCGGTCCACCCGGCCCTCCTTGAGTGATGCTCACACACCATGTCTCCTTCAGTCCTCACTGCAGCCCCAGCTGCGTTGGCCAGTGTGAGGGCTCCTTCCTGCAGAAGGAGCTGAGGCAGATGGGACGCTGCGGCTTTACAGGGCATGCGTGGCAGGAGGCAGAGGGGAAGGCCAACTGGAGGATGTGTGCTCCCTCGACTCGCACCCCTCCCCTGGAAACCCACATCTGCACCCCTCGTGCTCTGGCCGCTGGCCACGACTCAGGAGTCCTGGACTCCTCCCTGTGAGCCTGGGAGGGTGCTGATGTGGAGGGAGGGGTCTGGCCCTGGAGCTGGCTGCCTCCCTGCCTGAAGTTTCACAGACCACCAGGATGAAGGGTGGAGCAGGGACAGGCCTGGGGTCTGATGGAAAGTGTCAGGTGACTGTGCATTTCATCACTGACATCATTCCAAAGAGAAAGTCAGGGCTAGACAGTCTGATTGCCACTTCTGAAGTATTTTGAAAATATACGTGACCTCTGGGACCATCTTAGGACAAATGGCGTGTAGCTGTGTGATAATGTGGCTTGGGTGCCAGTGTTCTTTTTTCTATCTATGAAATGTTGGCAGAAGGCTGTTTCATTGAAGGAATCCCGAAAAAAGCTATATTACAAGTCAAATTAGGGAGCTGGCACTGGTCCAGAGTGATCAGTGAGCGTGGAGAACTGCTCTCAGGTGGCACCCAGTGGCTCTGGCATTTGAGCAGGTAAGGTCAACCCTGCCACGAATGGGAAAATCAATGAATCGAGCTGAAAAGCCTCTGGGTTTTCTCGAGTGTGCTAGAAGCCACGGTTGTTTGAGCAATGTAGTAGCTGCCCGCCAAGGAAACCAGGCAAAAAAAAGTTACAGGCTAAAAAACGTTACTTCCTCCTCAGGGATTCCCGGTGGTTAAGAGTGTCCCGAGGAGCTGGGCGCTGTGTTCCTGGCCATGTGCCCTGTCACCGCTGGACCCTCCTCTCAGAATCCACCCAGGCTTGTCCTCTGCCCTCCGCCCTCAGTCCTGTGACAGCACAAACGAGCAGAGTGAAAATGGCTTCTCTGCCTTAACTGTAACTTCATTCAGCTCGTACTTACAGGATACTATGCTTAATTTCCAACAAACCTTGTGTAAATATAAACTTCAAAAAAAGAAGTCAGAAATCAAGGAAGTTTGGGCAACTTAAGAAGTCTTTATTTTCCCTAGTGGACTCTTTTTGAATTTAAAAAAAGTTCTAATATTTACTTAGAAACTTACTTGTTCCTAGGAAATAAAATTAGCATGGCATAGCAGAAGGGATGTTAGTTTGGGAGTCAGAGGACCTGAATTCTTGGCCTGATTCTTCTACTTACTGGTTACGTGGCCTTGGCAACTGGCTTTGTTGCTCTCAGTTTTTCCATCTGTGAAGTGGGAGGGCCAAATCGGCAGATCTTGGGGGCCCTTCCCGGCTCCCAGTTCTGTGAAACGAGTGTACCGATAATGACACGGAAGTGTTTTGGGAACTGTGGGGGCGGAAGGCTATTAGCCCAACTTGCTTTTAAACTCAGCCCATTGAACAAATGACTCCAAGGCATCTATTAAAAACCTTTTGCATAATTAAGTGTATCCTGTAATCAGTGCTAACAAGAAAGAGCTAATCTTTCATTAAATTAGTTTTTAATTTAATTCTATCCTAATTTAATTTTGCATCACTTAAAATGTATGTTTTTAAATGGATATTTACACGTCAATGTAGGCAGCTTTGAAATTAATTTGTTCTTTCCTTAACCTGCCGCAACCTGAGCCTCAGTCTTCCAGTTTCCTTGGCAATTGTTGCTAACGAGGCAGTTCTCTTAAAGCATTTCTCAGATTCCCAGGTCGTTTAGTTGGATGCTTAAAAAAAACACAAGACAACAAACAGCTTGCTGAACGAGGGGCCAGATTAGTAGTGTGTGCAGTTAGAATTGGGGGCTGATAGCGAAATAAAGCACCTTTGTTAAGTTATCCTTTTAAAAGTCTTGCTTTTCTCTTGCACATCACAGTTTGTTAGTAAGTTAGTTTTCTGTGTCCAGTAGAACTCCAAGAATTGAACATTTACAATGAGAGGAAGGAGTTTTGCACTTGCCTGGTGGTTACCTGGTGTCCTAGAAGTAAAGACCGAGGACATCTCTACTAGGTGTCCAGAAAAACCTCAGTTCCTCCGCAGCAGACGTGGCAGCTGTCACCACCTGCCCGGTTTCAGGGTTGCTGGCTGCTGGCTGCTGCGCCGTTAGGTGGTTACTGCTGCCGCCTCGTTTCCTGGCTGGCGCTGACAGCGCCTGTGCTCTTTTGCTGACTTCCAGTTCCAGCAGAAGGCCAGGGAGTTTTGTGCTCAAACCTGAACAGCACCTCTTTCTGCGGGCGCAGGAGGCAGGGGGCAGCTCGGGTCGTCCCTCCTCTGGACTGGGGTCGGTAGCAGCTTCCTGCCGCGGGGTTGGGAGTGGGAAGGCACCCTCAGTCTAGCCCACAGCCTAGCTCTTGGCCTGTTGCCCTCAGACTGGCTGGCCTGGGAAGCTCTGCTTTTTGGGGGTAAGCAGGGTAAGGGTGTGAAGAACTCCTGAACACTTGGCCCTGTCCAGACAGCAGTGGAAGCATACCTTTATGCTTTCAGAGAGGCTCCTCTCTCCAGCAGCTACATGTTTCTAGAACCTTCTGTGTGTGTGAGATACAGTTCGGGACCCTGAGTGGCCTGCAGACTGGAACAGTCATTCTGGAGGTCTAACTGAAGCAGTTTGGGGTCCTGGGTCTGCCTCCAGAGAGCTGCCCCAAGAAGGCGGAGTAAGGCTCTATCCCCTTGAATCCCATGAAGACTAAATCTGGGTTTGGAAGCCTGGAGTGGGGAGGGGCATTGGTGGGTGTCGTCCCCTATTCAAACCGTGCCTGAAGTCCACAGGAAGCATCTGCTAAATGCCCTCAGGCAGGGCCCTGCAAGTCTTTAAAAGAATCTATTTAAAACAAGAATTCAGGACCCTTAATAAGGGTGCAGTTTTAAGAATATAGGAGACAAATAGTAACAGACTATGCACGCTTTGTAACTAATGGGCTAATAGTCACAACACTTAAAATTTGTATGTGAATATTTACATGTGTGTACATATGTATGAATGTGCATACTTGTATTTGAACCTGTCACTTGACAGTTTAAGATGCTCTTGTGTATATCAGCACATTTAATTCTGACTACGACACCAGGGAGGGATCTGAAATATTACCAGTGACAGGTCAGGGTCGTAGTGAGTGTGGGGCGGAGGCTGGGAGCACTGTGGTTTCCGCTGAAGTGTCTCTCGCTGGGCCACCCGGGCTGTGGACCTTGCTCCAAGGTAGTGGACATGACTAGAAGGGGGGCTTTCCCTGCTGTAGACCCAAGGCCCGGGGCATCCCTTTTTCCTGATGACGGCCACCAAGTATCTGAATCATGTCTTTGCTTTAGGCTGCCCTCATTCATGTCAACCTTGATTTTTTTCAAGTTAAATTACATTTTAAGGTGGTGTTTCTTATGGAAAAAAATAATTTTCCGCATCCTCTGGGAAAGGGCTTCTAAGGAAGACGGGCCCTGACCAGAGGGTGGGGAGGAGGATTGGGGGATGTACACCCTGAGGTCTGGACGGGTGACATCGCCCAATTTCCCTGGGGGAGAGTAAAGGTTGGAGTTGCTATGTAGGTTTGTGACCCTGTCCGTTCCCCAGTCCTCTGCCCCAGCATGCCCCATACCCCACCTCCCCTCAGCTGTACCTCCTCATTGGGTTATCTTGTTTTTCTCTTACCTGAAGCCTCAAAGTACAGAACTGACTGAATTCGGGTGATTGGGCCCAGCCCAGACCTCAGTATGGCTTTGGGAAGCAGGGCACTGCTTTTCTGGAACTCACTCTCTGAAGTATAAGGTTTTGGGTACCCATGTCCGAAGACAGGAGCCAGCCTTTGGGGCCTGTGGTCAGAAAGGCTTAAGTAAACAAAGAATTTTGGTAGCAAAAATGCAAATAGAAAAGTCACAGCTCCCTTTCTCAAGATAAGACCAAACTTCAGACTCTTATTTGTTGGGTTTTTTGCTTTTGTTGTTGTTGTTTTTGTAGTTGTGTAACTTAGAATTTGCCGGGTGACCTTGAGGAAAATATACACATGTAAGATCTTTTCAGCCTGTGGTCTATTCTGTCAGTCCTGTAGTGCATGCACATGCTGTATTCCAGGAAAAAATAATTTGAATCCAAGTCATTTTGTTGAACAAATATTTGTTTAAAATTTATCTTAAAAAAAAAGAAAACAGCCACTAGCTGGGTGTCTAATTCTCATTCAGAGTAAAGCTGTGACTTCCAGGCACAGTCAAGCTGAGAGCTGAGGCAACTGTCCAGGCATTTCAGGCCAGAGTCCTGCCATGGAAGAAAAATGATTCAGGGTTGTTTTTAAACTGAATTTTCCAGTGTTTTTTCCCCTTGAAATCCTTTAAATATACGGTTTTCTACAACCTTTAAATTTACAGTTTTCTGTTCCTGTTACCTGTGTTGATACAGGGGGATTCTTTTTAAGATGACAAGAAAGAATAATATGTTTGGAATCCATGTAGGTTATGTTATTGTAACTGAGGACAATAGTTTTCATTAGCTGGCTTTTCAGAGATCCATATAAATTATCATCAGTATTATCAAGGAAGTTGTCTGTCGCTGGGTTTTTTTTAAAGCTTCCTTGCTTCCAGCCGTATTGTCCTCGTTATCCTTGGGGGTGACTCAAACCGTTTGTCTGGTCTTTCCTTCCTCTCTTTGTGTGGAGAGGTCTCAGCTGTCCAGTGGGCAACTGACCGTGATTTTGAAATGACTTTATTTTTCAGATGTCGAACTCTCTCAGGTTCACCCAGACCAAAGAACTTCAAGAAGATTCATTTTATCAAGAACATGCGGCAGCACGATACCAGGAATGGCAGGTACTACACTGACAAAAGCTGCCAGTCAGCTTCCCTGCTGTGGGGGGTGGGTCCAGGGGGAAGGCAGGAGGGGGCAGTTTGAATGACCAGACCCCAGCAAAGTAAAGCCCACACTGTTAAGACGAAGAAGATCTCAAGCAGCCTTCCCAAACAGACTGTCTCCACCCCACTCCCACCAGAATCATCCAAAGAAGTCTGTAGCAAATAACGCTTCCTAACAGTGGCCAAAGGCTTGGTGAGATTTTTAGATTAACCATAAACTGAATTTTTAATAGTATTAAAATATATTTTTATAGAAACCTTTGAACAGAAAAACAGTTGAGTGTTTTTCCCTCTTTTTCTGCTTTGTTGGGTTTTGTTTTCCTTTTTCACCAGAGCTGTAGGCTCTGGTCAGGAGATATCCCGCCAGATCTGCTCCTGAACTTGGTTTTGGCGCCAGCTTTGATGAGTCTCTAGGAGGGCGGAATCCTGACTTTGCCAGCAGATTCTTCCTGGGCGTGGATTCAAATTCCTGGGCCTGCTGACATCTGTGGCACGTGTTTCTCCAGCTCGTCAGTTGCTCTTTTGGAAACTGCTGTTAGGTGAAAGTGATCCTGGTTGAAGTTTATATGACCTTGATATTAAAACTCTCCTGGTGACAAATAGATCGAATCATTACTGCTGGCATGTTGTGATTGGCTAAGTCCATTCATGGCAGCCAATGGTGGTGCTGGGAACAGAGCTCCAAGACCTCCGGGATCCCCTGATGCTCTGATGCCTTAGGGGAGCCTCCTCCCCACTGACCTGGGATGTGGGTAGTGGTTTTCCTTAAATGAGAGAGTTAGGAACACCATCCCTGAGCAGAGGTCCTGACACAAAGACCATTTTTTATGATCTCCTCTTGATTTACAGAAGATCATATGGCCCCACTAGTACTCTCTAATCCATACCAAATGAGAATTGCTAAAAAGTCTTTAGTTAGACTCATGGAATGATTGAGGCCCAGCATTACTATAATTTGGTGTAAAATACACTGTTCAACCTGAACAGTAACACTAACGATTACAGTTTTTAACGAGTTGTTTTCTTGAAGTTGATACCTATTTTTAAACCTTACTTGAATAGGGAACATGATTTTATAACTATTCAGTGATTTCAGAATAGCAAAATTGAACCCTCTCATCAAATAATTTTTACGTAGTCAGTATATATTCCTATTTTAAGTACAGAGCTTTTAGTTTAAATGTACCCACCTGTCATCTGTTAAATAGAGAACTGAATTTCTCTCTCTTACTCTCACTGTCACTTACAATTATTGTGCCTTACTCATTTAACCACCATGTTTGTGTTTTCTTTTGAGGCTCATACTGAATCCAAATCCTACTCGTGCCGTTTTTAGTATGATTACTCATCTTTTATTTACCTTTATGTTTTTGTTCATAGTCTCTTTAACCATAAAATAAGCATACAAAGCCTTTAAATTCCTAAATAAAATCAATGACAAGGCTAAAAGAGTGGGCCAAATTAGTAGTGTTCTCTACCTCTTGATGCTATGGAAGATATGTCAGATAATCACCTGGCGTGGTTCGGCAGTGAGAGGATACAGTTAATAAAAGATTTGGACTAGTGGGATTGCCAGTGTATGTGACAAAGCCACCTTCCCTGGCACACCCTTGACCCGGGGACAACATAAACAGTCGGGAAAGCATGTGGTTGCTGGCAGTTTTGCTGGGGAGTCTTCACAGGGAGCCAGGAGGGACTATCACTTTCTCTGAAGATCTGAGAAGTGGGGTTTAGGGCAGGACAGCAGGCTCTCAGAGCTGCTGTGGGACCCACAGGCTGGAGGCCAGTGTGTCTGCCCAGGTGAGAGCTGCTCTTCCTGCGCCAAAGGAAGAAGAAACGGCTGGCGGCGCTCTCCTTCCTCCCTCTGGTTTATTAGCTAGGATGGATTGTTCTTAGACAGATGAAAGAAAGAAGTCAGAAGGACGCCAGGAAGAAAATACGTGTTCTGAGGTGACAGAAGGATATCGTGGTCAAGAGCTGATGAATGGGAGGATGTGACCCGCCTTTCAAGAAAGGAAAGGAGGAGAATTGCCCCCACTGCAGCTGGGCAGCAGACGGGGAATTGTCCTGAGGGTGGCCGGGGACACATGGATGAGCTCGAGTCCAGCAGAGGTAGGCAGGAGGGGTCCTGGTCGTTCTCTCGGAATGGAGGGACTGGTGTGATGGCGGGTGTCTCAGATTCCCCCACCTCGGGCGGATGGAGGCACACAGAGAACACTGGACTAGAGGGTGCATTCCTGCAGCGAGGACCAGAGCCACTCGACTCCGATTGCCTGCCGTGTCGGGAGAACTGAGCCTTTATGGAGAAGGCTGGAGCTGTTCATTGAAGGGCTTGAAGGTGTGGACAGAAAACGGAGTGGCCTGAGTACTGGTATGTCCGCCTCTTCGTGCCCCCAGGGAGGAGAGACTGAAAAGGAGCCTGCACAGCCCCCGAGACCCACACAGGCGCCTCTCAGCCCAGACAGTCACAGTCCCCGCTCCAGCCCCGACTTCTGCTCACTCACAGCCGGGCCCAGCTCCCCAGTCTCCTTGTGACCTCTGGCTAGCACAGACCAGCCTCTCAGGCTGCAGGTCCAACCCGGGGCCTGCTTGCTGGCCTTGAAGACCCTAGTGTTGAGGCTCCTCTGTCCCTGAACCTGCTGACCGTGTGACACAGGCAACAGCATCGAGGAGGATGTGGGCTCCGGTCTCAGCAAGGACTCGTCTGTTTTGAGGCTCAATGCCTGACCTGACTGTGAGTGTTAAGCACGATTTAAGATAGAAAGGGGAAAAAATAATAAAAAGTGAGAACCAATACAATAAAAGATAGTACTTGTGTCATTGAAAAAACAAAACAAGAAACCCAAGTCAACTTCATGATCAGTAATGTCAGGGTAGCTGCTTAGAGATAAACCTCGGGGTTTTGCTGGCTCCCATTCGCCCACTTCTCTCTGGCGGTCCCAGTGGGCGTGTGGAATGGAAGTGAGCACTTTCAGCAGAGGGTGTGGTTCTGATGGAGGATGGAGTCTACTCTAAGTAAAAACGGTCTTCCTCTGTCTGGAATCTGGGAATTCTATGAGGCTGGTGTTGAGAACCTGCTAGAAGGCTCTGTGTGTGGATAAAGTGCAGAGACCAAGCTGCGAGTGTTTTGGAGTCAGGCTGCAGACTTTGGGTGGGATGGAGCCTCGACACAGGTTACAGACCCAGTGATGGAAGCTTCAGCCTTGCTGTTAGAACCTGAGGCGTGATGAGTTCTTTACTGGCCCTCCTGGGTGTTTGCCCTCCTGTAGGCAGGGGAGCCGTGAGAGGAGCTGGGCGCTCTCTTCTGCCTCTGCCGGAAGGTTGGTGATGGGGAAGTCGTGTTGAACCTGATAGTTGTGAAAAGAAAGCAGTGTTTGGCTGGGTTATAGGAAGACAGAGCTCAGAAGGTTCACCATATTGCCAGTAATACTGTCGTTGTGTTAGCCAGAAAAATGCCTCCCAAAGATGCCCAGTCATATGCCCAGAAGCTGTTCATACATTAGGTTATGTGGCAAGGGGGAGTGAAGGTTGCAGATGGAGTTGCAGTTACTGATCAGCTGCCCTTAAAATAGCAGGATTGCCCTGGATGATCTAGGTGGGCCCAGTGCAATCACAAGAGTCCTTAAAAGTGGAAGAGGAAGGCAGGAGAGTCGGTGTCAGAGTGATGTAAGGTGAGAAAGACTCCACTGTCCATTGCTGGCTTAGAAGATGGAAAAAGGGGCCATAAGCCAAGGATGTGGCAGCCCCTAGGAGCTGGAAAGGGCAAGGAGACAGATTCTCCTTTCGAGCCTCCAGTAGGAACACCTTGACTTGAGCCCCGTGAGACCATATTAGAGTTCTGATCTCCAGAATTGTAAGATAGCAACTTTGTGTTGTTTTAAGCCACTGACTTGTCATTTGTCACTGAAGCCTTAGAAAACTAAAACGTTAATCATCCCAGTTTGCAAAGGAGGAAACTGGAAGCCGTGGCTAGAAAGTGGGTGGTATGGGCCGGCCCCGTGGCTTAGTGGTTAAGTGCGCGTGCTCCGCTGCTGGCGGCCCGGGTTCGGATCCCGGGCGCGCACCGACGCACTGCTTCTCTGGCCATGCTGAGGCCGCGTCCCACACACAGCAACTAGAAGGATGTGCAACTGTGACATACAACTATCTACTGGGGCTTTGGGGGAAAAATAAATAAATAAATAAAATTATAGAAAGTGGGTGGTAGAATCTAGATACAGGCATCAGATTCCAAAGGTCATCCTGATAATTGAAGGGAGGGGTGGGGAGTAAAAGTCCAGACACTGTAAGACAGCGTGTCATGGTGGATTTTGAGAAAACTCTGTTGAATTCTGATTTTTAAAAATCATTAGCTAAAGACCAAAGACCAATAAAAGAATGGCTTAAGCAAATTTGTTTGAATAGTGTGAGGGAGATTAAAGTCCGGAGTGAAGTAAAGATTGATAAAAAGAAAAGAAGATCGGAACCCTCGTACATTGCTGATGGGACTGTGAGATGGTGCGGCCACTGTGGAAAGCAGTCTGGCAGTTCCCCAAAACGTTAAACGTAGAGTTACCATATGACCCAGCAATTCCGCTGCCAGGTATGTACCTAAACGAATTGAAAAGAGAAATTCAAACAGATCTTTATGCACCAGCATTCACAGTAGCCAAAAGGTGGAAACAACCCAAGTGTCCATCAGCAGATGAACGGATAAACAAAATGTGGTGTATACATACAAAAGAATATTACTCAACCCTAAAAAGGAAGGGAGTACTGATACCTGCCACAGTGTGTATGAGCCTTGAAAGCATTATGCTGACTGAAAGAAGCCAGACACAAAAGGTCACATATTGTAGGATTCCTTTTATACAGAATATCCAGAATAGGTAAATTCGTAGAGACAGAAAGTAGACTAGAGGTTACCAGGGACTAGGGGAGGGGGATAGTTTCTTTTTGGGACAATGGAAACGTTTGTA